ATTTTTAACCATTTACACTATTAAAACAGGTTGAACCATGGCAAGATCTGTGGAAGACCCTGCATGACAACATGGGGTCAGACTTGATCTCAACAAAAAAGACAAAATTATTTGTAATTACTGTCAAAGAGTGATAAGTAGTAGGGTACATAGGTTCAAGCAACACTTGGCAGAGGTTAAAGGAGATGTTTATGTGTACAATAGTGTCCCTAATAATGTAAGAAAGCAGATGGCGGCATTTCTCAAGGCAACCAAAGGTAAAAAAATTGCAAAGCAGAGGATGGATGAGGAGATATACTCCATCAAGCGGGAATGATCCAGAAGAGCAATATAATAATGACTTGGAGATGGCCACAAGAATGAGTTTACAGGAAATATACCAGAGGGAATGCGGGTTTAGAATGCCTAGTGGTTATGACATTGGCATGCATGGTGAGCCTAGCTCAGACATGTATGGCGGGCCCAGCTCGAGCATGTATGGTGGGCCCAACTCGAGCATGTATGGCGGGCCCAGCTCAAATATGTATGGAGGGGTTGGTGGCAATATGTATCAAGATGAATCACACGTTGAATAAATTGTTTTTAGCTTATCTAGAAGTGTCAGTATTGCAGGTGATGGTCGTATAGACCTATTTCTCTCAAAGCCTAAGTCAGAACAGATGACCCTCAAAGGCATGGTGAAAGGTATGAGAAACATGTTGGGCAGATATGTTGGTAAATGGTTCTACGATAAATGAATCCCCTTTGATGCAGCCAATAGCCCATATTTTCCACATGTGGTCAACGTAATCCGGAGAGCCGGGCCCAGGATAAAACCCTAAACGACATATGAGCTCAGTGGGCCAATATTGGATGAAGCGGTGGATGAAGTTAGAAAGTAGATTGAAGAATATAAACAGAGTTGGCCAAGAACAGGCATTACTCTCATGAGTGATGGTTGGTTGAATAAAGTTAGCAAAAAAGAGTTTTTAAACTTCTTGGCCTATTCCCCAAAAAGTACAGCTTTTTTGTCTAGCAAAGACGTATCAAGGACGAAGAAGGATGCAAATTCTACGTACGACTATATAATCAGATAGTGGAGGAGGTCGGAGATAAGCAATTAGTCCAGTTTATTACGGACAATGCGCGTGCATGTGTTTCTGCGGGTAGCAAGTTGATGGATAGGAAGAAACATCTAGTATGGACCCTGTGTGCTGCACATAGTATCGATTTTATATTAGAGGAGATCGGTGAGATCAAAATTGTGAAGGAGACTTTACAAGAAGCGAGGTTGGTGTCAAGATTTATATACAATCATTTTAAAATTTTATTTTTTTTTAAAGAACAGTCTAAAAAAAAAGAGATAATCAGGTATGCCATAACCTGCTTTGCGATAGATTATTTGGCTATGGACTCCATTCGGGAATCTGAAGGTGTAGTAAAGATATTGTTTACCAGTGAAGAGTGGTTAAATGACCGCCTCTCGAAGTCCAGTACCGGGCTAAAGTAGACGGCATAGTCTCAAATAGGAGGATGTTCCAGTACCGTAGAGGTCACACCCCTTTGGTCACGGTGTTAAGAATGGTGGGTGTTGACAAGAAAGCTACCATAGGCATCCTTTATGAAGGTATCGAGAGGGTCAAATCAACTATTGAGGAGAAGTGTAGTTTTGCTAGTAAAGTGATCGAGATTATAGAAAGAAGGTGGAACACCAAATTTGAACGTTCAATTTATTATGCAGGTAAATGTATATTTATATCATTAGAATGTTTCATTCTAAATTATTTTTTTATGAAATTTTAAATGACATTTATCTATCTATATATTTTTTAGGTTACTACTTCAACCCAAAATTTTCTATTTGATACCTGAACTTCCCCACAATATTATGGAAGGGGTCAGATACATTATTGCCAGGTTGGAGAGAAGCCATCGAAACCAGGTAGCAGCAATGCAAAATGTATTATTTAATATTTGGGTCAGAACTTGATTGAGTTGTTATATTTGTGAGGAATAATGCACTAAAACGAAATATTTTGTTTTAGCTTGCTATGTATAGGGATGCTATAGGATCCTTCAAAACTAGACTTACCAGGAATTCTCGAACTAAAATAGATCCAGGTTATCCCCTAACTAATATTTTGTTCATTCATATATTAATCTTATGAATTGTCCTTGCCCTTTACCATGCTTTTTTCATTTTAATCCAGCTAAATGATGGGAGATATATGATATTGATGCACCTTACCTAAAAAGGATAACAATCAAGGTGCTCTCGTAGACATGGTCTGTTACTCGCTGCGAGCGAATTTGGAGTACGTTCAAATGGTTGTACACTACTAGAAGGAATCGACTCGCTTCAGAGAAGCTTTGTAAACTAGTCTACGTTCATTACAACTGAAATCTCCGAGAGTGACAAATAAGAAGGAAGCTTGAAGATTATGGGCCGATAAACTTGGACACAATATTTGTCATAGAAAGAACAATGGGTAGTAGAAGAAGATGAACCAATATTGCACAAGAGAGTGTCCCTTGAGGCTATTAGTAAGGAAAATCTTGCAGAAGGTGATGAACTGCATGAAAGAGGAAGCAGCCCGCCAACATATCCACAATTTGTCGGAGACGTCGGTAATATTGCACCCAAAGAGGAAGAGTGGGAAAAAGGTCTAAGGGAAAATGAGAGAGATGATGATTCTGAAGCCACCCAATCCCAGCCAAATTATTCACATATCGAGTCCCAACAACAAGAAGGTAATGATGAGCACGATAGTGTAAGTGAGCATGAATGATGGACAAGCTTCGAGGATTTTGGATTAAGACTACAACAAAATACTAACACAGTATAGTCGGGTGCCCACTAATTTGGATGATTCGTTTTTAGAACGAGTCAATAAATTGTCACGCGAATTCAATCAATGGCACCAGCGTGACTAAGATGAAGAACGACGTCGTCTGTCATTTTATTTTTAGATCGTATGTTACGAATTATATTCTTTATTGTAGTCCATGTATGATGATATACTTAATCCATGATAATTCTATGTTTATCCTTTTATGTGATGTAAATTAAATGGTAAATAGTAGTTCATGCAGGGAAAGAACATATCAATATTCACATATTCATGCAAAAAAATGAAAATTCTTAATGGAGTACCCTTATTTCTTATTGAATTCCTAAAAAACAACATTTATAATGAATTTTAATAATTTTTTCTGATTTTTTTTAAAGTTTAATCCGACCGATTCAACCTATTCTCGATCCGGATCGTTGATTTGTCGATCCTTATGGATTTTTGAGATGCCCAATGCAGGTCACCGATCCGATTTTTAAACCACTGGGTGAGAGTAATGTACAACACCGGACAAGCTAATGGATTAACATTCTAGCCTTAAAACTTGTCGGGGCGACCGGAAATTGTTTTCAAGCCTCTAGAAAAGAGGTGAGATGTACAACACCGGACAAGCTGATGGATTAACATTCTGGCCCTAAATATCAATACTTTTAAGGACCTAAGATGGGGTAGAGGGTTTTTTTTGACAAATCAATGAGGTGAAAAAGACTTATGAGGTGAGGCTTTACCTATTTTGCCCTATCAAACCATTTTCCTTTTTTGATCATGCGGCGTAGAGCTTTTTTGATGTTGGGTCCCCTTAAAAACATGACATTTCAGGGTAAAACACCTTCATAGACTACAAATGTAAAAAGGAGAATATGAAGTTTTTCATCTAATAATTTATAAAGAATATATATCATGCAGCGTAGAACTTTTTTTACTGTTGGGTCCACTTAAAAACAGGAAACTTCAGGGAAAAACACCTTCATAGACTTACATTTGTAAAAAACAAAAGAATATTAAGTTTTTCATCTAATAATTTATTAAAACAAATAAATTCCAGACCGCATAGAGCTTCCTCTAACACCCAAAAATAAAAACATATTTTTTACATTTTCAGTGGAGGGTACCCAAATTGCATAAATGAGAAATGACCAAAAAAAATGAAAAAAGGGGCCCCTTTGTATAAATTTCTTCCGACCCATATGACCCAGGATATCACAGGCAACTAATTGAAATTGGTTACATAAATCCTAGTATGTCATTCATCATCATCTTCATAACATATTTCCATCTAATGGGAGTCCGCTAAACAAATCTTCATTGGAGTCAGCTAATCGAATCTTAGTTGGCCATTCTACTCTATAACGGGCAGCGAGGACAAGTCCCATATCTTTATTACTACATGTGAGGCCTAATATTGAGATATGAACCTCATAAATCTAAAATTATAATGCAGCATTTGGAAATGTCTTTAATTTTCTCAAATTTGAAGGGTTCTGACTTAGAAAGCATTTACAGTGATGACAGCGACGCCATTCCATTTCATACAAGCCAAATAATAAAAGAACAAGCACAGCACATAAACAGTCCATTCCAACCCACAACTTCAATGATCACTGAAAAAGAAAAGAAAACAAATCAATTGTAGCATTGAATATTTATTTCGGAAATAAATAACAAATGTGGCCAAACATGGCTGATTTCTACTACTAACTAAATTTTATTTCCACCATGTGACATAATCGGCGTAACAATCGCCGTCAATTTCCCCCATCGAAACAATCGGGTAAATCAACCCAATGTAGTAAAAATATGGAATATGTCCAAACTATGCCTAAAATGCCCCTTTTCTTTTCTACAAATGACCCACACGCCCGATCTAATATTCCTGAAATAGTAGACCTGTATTCCTTGAAAATCACACCGTTCATATAAACTAAATGTCGGTAATACCCCCCGGAATCAGAAGCCATCCATCACACGAACTAGGGTTTCTCAGGGGCATAATGGTCACACGGCAGGCAAACAGGATTGGGGTGCTAAAGGGTCATTACCAGAAAAGGAGGGGACCGTATCAGTCATTCTTCGCGAAGAGAAACAGCAGAAAACAAAAGAAAAAAGGAATCCAAGAAAATAGATGGCTCACCGGAGACTGTACGGCCTCGAGGGCCCGTACAGGTCGTAAGGCGCCCACAGGCGGTCAAGAGGGCAAGGGTTACCGGCATCTAACCGTTGCCAAGGCTTCCCACTCCCGCTCCAATGCAGGAGGCTAACCGGGCCCGGATGAAGATCCCGGCAGCTGCCGGTCACCCTGTCCCCACCCAGCCCATGCTGGTTCCACCGGTGCTCAATGCCCTCGATTTTTCCGGCGAATACCAGTAAAAACGGGGGCAAAGATCCGAGCTCATAGATCCTCTTCTCCTTCTGGACCCTCATCCACCGTTCGATCTGCCACGTGTAACCATCACGCCTCCACTTGTCCAGATCGATCACCATAACGCCCGTATTGAAATAACAGGCGTTGCGGTCCCTGAAGACGCCGGAAAATCGTTTTTCCGACCAAAACGACGGCGTGAAATACTTGGTGAAGTTGACGTGGCAGTATTCCGGGGCGCCTATGGCTTTCCCGGCCAGCGGGGCCCGCCATAGCTTGTCCACGTCATCCACCAGGACGAGGTCAGAGTCCAGATAAATGACTCGGCGCACGCAATTCGGCAAAAGATCGGCGATGTAATTGCGCGCGTAATTCAATGGCTGCTCCAGGGCCTGGCGTACGGACGAGGAAATGAGGTCCTTGACGATTTTTGGGGAGAAGGGGTAGAACTTGAAATTTAGGGTCGGGAAGAGGGCTTTCACGAAGGATGGCGAAATTTCGGGGGGCGAAGTTTCGGCGACGAGAAAATGAAAGAAGAGGTTCTCGGGGCATCCGGCGTGGAAGAGGGCGGAGTGGACGGCCGCGATCGAGCCCCGGAGGTAGGCGGTGTCTAGGGTTAGGGCAATGTGGATAAGAGAAGGGTTCCATATTCCTGGCGATTTTTGGCCGGAGACGGGACACTTGCCGTCGTTAATGAAGAAAGGTGCCTGCCGGAATTTTGAGAGATACGGCGCCGGAAAATAAGAGGGTCTAATGGCTTCAGCGGGAGGCCACGAGTGAAGGGATTGAGAGAGAATTAGGGTCAGCAAAAGGGGATAAGCAAAGCTTACAGCCATTTCTCTGTGTCTCTGGGGCTAAGAAAAAGCCATGGCCAAAGGCGTCTCTCTCTGCAAACCCTAATGCAACTGCACCTCTCGTCTCTGTTTCCCTCTGCTCTTACTTCCTGATGGTGAAAAGACTGAACGGAGAGGAGATAGAAGAAGGGCGGATACTTATTCTTTCATTTTTTATTTGTTTTGTTAATATAATAAGGGGAAAAGGGTGCATAGAGAAGAGTTCCTTCCTCAACCTGCGTTCCTTTTGTTACATAGGAAGAAGAGGTAATTTTGGGTTTTCCTTTTACGCACCCTTGAAGAAATAATTCCAACTTATAGCCCTGCCATTTTTGTAATAACTGCAATGCCCCGAATTAATAAGAGTGCTTTCAATGTGAAAGACAAAAGCAATGATTTCACCTCACTAAATACATTATTTACTTAAAAAAATTGTGTGGAACTATTTAGCAACCTCCAATTCCAATTCCAATTCCAATTCTAATTCTAATCCTGGGGCTCCCATGCTCTTAGTTCCGATGGTTTATTAGCCTTTATTTACTGATGGTCTATGTACAATGGATCAATAATCTTTTCTAACATGCCTCATTCGGGGATAGGATTTTAGAGCAATAGTTGAGGATATTTTCATGTTTAACAAATTACATTGGAACGCCTTAGAATTGGAATTGTATATTAGATATGGCCTTTAAAAAAGTATAATGGATAATCAAGATTTATGTAGTCGACATCAATTAATTGGAAAAATGCTAAAATGATGATGATGATATTGGAATTGTATACAAAAAGACCATTGATCTTTGTTACAAGGAAGTCACAATTGATATCGGCTATTAGATGTCAAATTGGATGGTTTGCGGTGTGTCACAAAGTTTTAGAAAAAAAAATTGAACATTATGTCTAATTAATGACACACTCACAATCACCCGATTTGAAATATGATGTACAAAAGTGTTTGTGACATCTTTGTATTAAAAGTAAATTGCTTTTTATATATTTTTCCACTTATATTAAAGATTGATGTCAATAATATCAACCACCATGATCATGAACACAAAGTAACATTTGGAAGATTTTGAACTCTTTAAATAAATTATTTTATTCTTCGCATATAATTAGATTTGAACTATTTTCCAAGCTGCAAATTCATGGGTACGATATAGAAAAGTATTTTCAGTTATTTAGAACTGCTAAGTAAAGTTTTTCTTGATTGATTTTCCTTAATTAAGAACCAGAAAGGTCTAAATAAAAACAAAGTGCTGAATAAGAAGAGGGCAGAAAAGGAAGGGAAAGGTGTAGGTAAAGGGACACACAGGGCATTGTCAGCTGTTACAGGGACACCCACCATTTCTAAATGTATTATATCGATGGACGTAATAAAGCTCGTTAATTTGCAGGTTTCCAATTCCAAAGCTCGGAGTACGACCCAATATTTGACTCTCGACCGTTGATCTCCTTGTAACGGTTGTTTAACAATACGTGGCAGCCATCAAAACGTCCATTGGCCTTTTATCCATAAAAGTCACGTTACCTGTTGACCGGCTATCTTCTCACGCGGACTGGCTATTGCCGGTTTCTTTGGCACTTGTGATTGCGTCATTTCGAGCCTGGTCATTGATTGAAGAGCACGCGAAGCAATAAGGAAATTTAAAATAAAAAAAAATAGAAAGAAATTGTTAAAGCAAAAATAAAGTTTTTTTTTTACAAGTTACAATTATTCCGGAAAATGTAATAAATAAGGCGTGAAAAATTAAACATAATGCGACGCATCAGTAATGTGCATGTGGCGCACGTGCCCCCCGCTTGGGCTCTAAGTAAATAATTCACCACAATAATTGGTTTTCTTCAAATTTTTCTTTACGAAATAACTTATTTATTTAGGCTTCTATCTTGATCCAGTAGTAAATGAAATCCTAGAAAGAATGCTTTTTAGAATAGTCGAGATCGGAGTGCATAGTGTGTTGTCTTGAGGATGCCGGAGAATCTAGTTTCATCTCTAATTATAAATTTTTAAATTTAAAACTAGTACAAAATCAAATAGATCTATAAACATACGAAAATCTTGAAAATAGACCGTTCAAATAATCTGTTGCAAAATGTACATTTTTGAAATTTCAATTTTTTTGTTTTCCATATCCATGTATCTAGACCTTGAGATGTTCAATTATATAGTTTTCTTAAATCAAAACAACCTTTTTGAAAGGATATTTCGGCGGCACGTTAAGTCCACAATATAAAATTTCTACTATTTATAAACATGAATGTGAAAGGGCTATAAAGACATCTACTTGGGTGAAAAATATAACCTTGTGATTGTTCATTTATTGGAAAAAGGAATAATTAATAATAATTAATTTGCACACCAATTTTTCATGATTTAGTAAGACTTTGGGCCTATTAGTGCGAAGCGAAGCTTGGTGTTGTAGTTTCAGTCAAATTTGAGTTTGCTTTAGGCCGATTTGGCCGTGTGTGTATATATATATATTCTAAACTTCGCAACCCTTCAAATTATATAGGTTCAAGATAGAGAGAGTTGTGAAGGGTGGATTTATTAAATTTGTAATCTATTTTTAAAAAAAAATTACTTTTGTGGGGCAATTTTGTAAATATTATAACAAAACAAAAGGTAATTTGTCATCTCCATGAGGGGTAAAATTGAAATTTTAACTAAAAGACAAGGACATTCTACAAATAAAGTTTCAATACACTAACTTCTAAAATACCATTGTACTTTTGTAAAAATTTCAAATTTGCTTTTACTTAATGGTAATGTTACCTATTTAAATATTTTTTTAATAAAATAATAATAATTATTTTGATAAATACACCCATCACAACCCTTTCTAACTTGAACCTTCAAAATTTAACTCTAGAAAAACCCATATATATATATAGTTTATTTATTCCAAAGGGAGCCTGGCTCCTTCTTCCATCTTATCTACTACTTCGCTCTTCGGCTCCCTACTGCTCTTCTTCCATCTTATCTACTACTTCGCTCCTCGGCTCCCTATTGCTCTAGCCGCTCGCAATAATAGCTTGTTTCTTTTTGGTGATGGTGCAGCTAAGCCAGAGTGGGCTCAACAGTCGGCCTATGTATCCGGGCGCACACGTAGAGGCATGATTAGTTTCATGTATATAAATATTTAATTTATTTATATTAAATTTTTTAAAACAAGATGTCTTCTCCCGAATCAGTCGAAATACCACTTCATTTTTTTCACCAAACCAAAAAAAACTACGAAGCAAATTTGACAACATTGTAGTGTTTAACATTCATTAATAGTTATGTCTTTTTTGTTTTAATTTGTAATATGCTTGCAATGGAAACATTTTATCAATAAAATTAAGTAATCTTGTCCAAAAAAAAAAAAATGGTAGTGGTTGATATTTGTGACAATTTTTCAATTAGAAAGATGAAAATTTAGAAGAAGGGAGACTAGCCGGTGCTTAAAGTTACTGATTTAGTTTGGGCGTGATTCTTACGGAATAATTAACCATATAGGAAATAAAGGAGCTTAAATAAAATCAACCAATGGAATGAAGTGGATCTTGGAAGAAATGGCCCATTTACTCTCGTTTTCTAACTTTTATAATTAAATAGCATGAATTCATATAAATTCTTGCTAAAACTTCTATCCAACGGCTAGATTGGAAGATTTTGACAAAATCAAAGTAAGTCAGTTCAAACATGGTTTAATTTTTCCTTGACTTCAAGTTTAATAACACCGATTATTAATTAATGGCTAAAATATGTGGCACATGCGAGTAGAGAAGAAATGAACTGGTGGTTGAAAGGCAAGTTCAAGCTGCTCGACGCGTCCAAGTTGACTTACCAAATCTTCACATATATGTTGCACATGATATTAATATATGATTAAGGTATTTTAATTATCAAGAGAATAGACAAGCAACGGGCCAAAAAGGAATTAATACTGATTTTTAAAAGTAAATCATATACTTCTATTTGATATTGAACATGAATCATGGGCACATTCATGTTGGTAAAACGTCTCCTTTAAATATAAAAATAAGAGAAAAGTATATTTAAAATGGTCAAATCATTTCAAACCCACTAGGTGGTAAAATGACACAAGTTATGAACAAAGTGGTTACATCAACAAAATGGCCTCGCCTACTTCCTCAATGATTTTGCTAAAATTATTTGAAATAGTCGTACTCAGGATTTAACATATAGAAATATATACAAGGATATTAGTGATTTAAAAAACGGATCGATGACCTAGATCGGGCACCTGAAAAATCGATATGGATTGGTGAATCTATGGTCTGAATCGTTGCTTTACTTTACAGAAAAAACAATCAACATGCCAAAAAACACATGAAAAAATAGTGAACCGGCCAAAAACCAATCCAGATGGGTCAATCGGCGATCTGGACCACTATTTTACTGTAGAGAATGGTTGTTTTATTGTGCAGAACCCCTGTTCCCTTCTAGACTCGGTCGTTTTCATATAGGGAAAGGTTTCTATACTTTCCTTACAATATAGAAGATCTATGTTTCTCCTACCAACCAGCCGTCCAATTACGATCAAGTGAACCACTCACCGTTTGATCTTATATCCGACATCTTAAAGTATTTTATTTTACTTTTTTTGTATACAAATTGTATGAATATGAATTTGGTACGTGCCATCTTCTCATTGGGGCACACCTCCCAAAAATATTAAAAATATTTTTTGATAAAACATAAATATCAAAATACCCCTATAAATTTTTAGGGGTATTTTGGTCATTTTATTTTATTGAGAATATTGTTTTTATATTGTTTTCCAATGCGATTTTAATAGAAGATTGGATGCCCAAAATTTAGTATTATATTGATTTATATAAAAAAAAATAAAAAATAAAATAGTGTAGAGAGGTGACATTGTGATTGGGGCAATCTTAGCCCTCCATTCAGAATGGACAGTTGGATAAAGTGATGTATATAAGTTCTATATTGTACGAAATCATAGAAAACCTGCCCTTTCATATATACATATATTTGCATAACCAAAATAGGGTGACTGATTCTTTGGTCAAATCGGGCAATTCCATATCAACCCGATATTTTTAAAATCACTGGATGAGAATATTTACTTTTGATGCTAGGGATCATCATCATTATTGATTTTTGGATATGAAATCAGGTTAAGGATGCATCAATGATCAGACACAAAAGTCTAAAGTAAAATTTCTCAAATGCTGCCACACACTACAATCTATTATATTTCACATTATAATAATTA